GACCCAGCAGCTCGGAGCAGGGAGGCAGGCAAACTGCTGATTTTAAACAGTTGCATTTTTACTCAGGATAACCCCATTGGTAACTCCTGCAGGCAGCAGCTCCGGGTGCTGCGGCTTGACCCTCCGCCCAGGCTGTCTTTGACCCTTAGCATCTACTGCCACTTGGGTGACGGAGATGTGCTTGATTTAGAAATCCCACGGTATCACCGAGCTGCTCGTGCTGGGTTCTCTTTTCTCAGGATTTAGATACGGTGGTTTCCTTTGGAAAGGTCTCAGAAATGGTCAGGCGTGGTTTAAACGGCAAGAGCAAATAGGAGCCAAAAGATGCAACACAAGGTTTATCTCTTCCTCTGTTTGCCGACCCGGGACGGCAACGTGCTCCAGGCCAGCCAGAGCCAGCAGTGGCAAGAAGCAGCTCTGCTAATAGCCTCGTTAGTCTCACCGAGATGCTGAGGCTTTGGCTTCCAGCAGATAATTAACGATGTGCTCATGAATTAGGAAGCCCTGGACCTCTACCAGGGCCTATGTGGAGGCAACCGAGCTGCTCTTGGTTCAGAGCTGGAGCAAAGCGATGCCTCGAGGAGCAGCCCGGAGCGATGGGGACAGCCGATGGGGACTGGCTCTTGGGGCTGGGAGAAGTGATATCCAGCCCCGTGCGGATGCAACAGCCCCCTAATGCTGGAGCTACCCCACCAGTGAGAAAGGCACATGTAAAAAGTCCTAGTAAGGCCCCACGGTGCCTCAATTTGAATACAATTTACTGTTGCTAATGATGCTGATGGTTATTTCCCCAAGCTAGGAAGTGTTTGGCCCCAAAATGGGCTCCTGGAAGCAATTTCAGATGAGCAATCTGTAATACCGGAGCTGATGGAAGCAATTTGCAACCCATTAGCAGGGATCGGCTGTGAAGATATTTTACATGTCACTCAGCGCACCTTTGAGGGGGGCTTAAATTTTTCCCACTCTCCCCTGGAATTTCTGGCGTGGATGGGATGGGGTGGCAGGAAGGGCTGCGAGGCTGGACACCGCACCAGCCTTGCAACACCCACCGACATCAAGGGTTAGAGCAACACCAGGCACACAGCACAGGGCAGACAACGGCACCGTCCTCCCAACGAGCACCTGAACACCAAAGCACTGCCTCCGTGGCCCCAGCAGCGAGCAGAAAGGGCTTTGTGGCATGCCACATTGGTGGCCTTTCAATTAAAACTCTCACCTTAAATACACGATGCAATCCTGGAGGTTGCAGGGCCAGTCACCCCCAGAGCCATCACACCCTGGAAAGGGAAGCAGCAGTGCCCGGCACCTCCAGCGCCCACAGTACTTGATAGACCATTATGAATTAAATTGCCTCCTGTACAGCAGCTGGGCGGCGGGTGCAGATAAAGAAGCAATTTGCAAGCCAGGGCTGCCTTGACGGAGGGAGCGATAACAGGGCATAACCCCCAAAAAAGCATAGAAAAGCATCTCTTACCCATCCTTGCAAACCCATCCTTGCCCTGGGGATGCTCTTCCAAGAAGCAGATTGGAAGTTTGTTCTTGTAACAAAGGTGTGCATGGCGGAACAGAGACAAACATTGCTCGGAAGGCAAGAAAAATAGCCCCGGGGCTTGAGTTATCCTTTGGCCCAAGCTCCCGGGGTGTTCCCAAGACAGTGCCTGTCTGCTGAAGCCTGCGCTGGGAGCCTCAGCACTGCAGCACCTTCCCTTAATTACTTTTTCATGCTAATTGGATCTGTGGGCATGCCTGAGGGGAGCCCTGGCTACTGGATCCGAGCTGGGACTGAGCACCCATTTTGCACAGGAAGGATATGGCCACAGCAGCTCACCTCCTCTTCTTCACACCCCACTGCCCATCACTCTCAGGTCCCAGTCCACCCCTTGGCTACCGGCCTTTAAGCCTTTGTGCCTGGTGTCTTGCTGTTATCAATTATCATCTGGGGCTAATTGTTAGCTCCTCACCCATCCCACAGCCCTCAGCTGGTCCCGCTGCCTCTCTCGGCAGGAATTAACACAACCCTCACGTGGCTCCCCCGAAAAATAACGCGGAAATGCTCGCGCTCCCCGTGCTCCACTCGACTCCAAGGATGCAGCTGCATCCTTCCTGGCCGGGGGCCAGCGGTGAGGAAGTTTCCTCCGACCGCTCGCCTCCTCCCCGGCTCCCACAAGAAGGGGTTCCGGGGCGTTTGGGAGGCCCCGCCGGCCCCGCGAGGCCCCCCAGGAAACGCGCTTTCCAGCCAGGGTGGCTTGGAGATGCAGAGCTTCTTCACTGGGGTTTTCCACTGGGTGGAAAGCAAGGGCTTGCACGTACGTCCACGTGCGCCTCTGCTCTGGCCTGAAACCCCATCCCTCCCTGCATGCAGCCCTGCCGCTGCTGGTGGATTTACTGTCAATAAAACCACTGCAGAGAATGACTTGTCATCTTGAAGAAAAAAAAGGAGGGGGGGGGAACAACAACCCCTTTTTAAATGTTCTTATCCCTTATCCAAGCAGCACATCCTTCTCCGGGCTTCTATCAGGAGCCCTAATGGAGAGACGGCTATCAGCAGGCAGTTGTCGTCCAGGCAAGGAGCAATGCCGACTCGCTGCAGAATGGAGTGGGGAAGGGAAAGGCAGAGCTGGTGCCAACTGGAAACGCTAATGCCGTTCTCCCGGCCTTGCAGCCGCGTTTCCAAGCACTGGCGGGGTCGTCCCTGTGCCCAGCGGTGAGCAAGGCGGGACACTGTCTCACGGGGGTGTCCCTGGGCCCCATCTCTGTCCCCCCCAGATGTCCCTGAGCAGGTCCCACTGCAAAACTCCGGGTTCCTGCTCGGGCAAGGACCCAGTTTGGGAGAGGATGCTCCAGAAAAGGACCAAACCAAGTGTGTCCAAGACACGGGATTTGGGGACAGGGTACCCATGCCTGACCCTGCTGTACCCCAAACTGCCCATGCTCCCATTAGCCGCAGTTCAGGCAGGGACGGCGTGCTGGGAGGGCACCTTTGGGCAGGGACACAGCTTGTTGGGACGACCCTGAGGTCTGGCTGTCCCTTTCCAACATCACACTTGTAAAGGACATTGAAACCTATTTTCCATTTGACTGCAGTCACCTTACTGGGAGCAGTGGGCAGGCGCCTGCTGCAGCCTCTGCTCCCTGCACTGCTGCCGGGCGGAGGTCTGCAGCGGGGTGTGCGTCCCTCAGCTCGGCTCGGGTGATATGGGCACCCCGCTCTCCGGGGCAGTCATGGGGAGCAGATGGAGGTGAGGCAGGGTTGGAGATGCAGTGGTGCTGGGGGGAAGCTGGGCAGCACTGCGCAACCCTCTTACTCTGCCCTGGGAGGAGGAGAGTACCCAGCACCCAGTGCCTTCTGCCCCGGGGAGCGGGGAGCACCCTGGGGACAACGGCACCTCTCTGATTACTCTGTAAATGGCAGAAAGTGAATAGCTGGGAAAGGGGCAGCACGTCTTGCGCGGGGCAGGGGCAGGAGCCCAGCGCCTCCGGCAGGGTCTTGTCCCCATCACAGCAAGCATCATACCGGGGACCATGCTGGCAGGCAGCGAGGAGCGGGGCTGCACCCGGCAAGCCCGGGACAGATGCTCGAGGCACTGTGGTGCCCTGCTGCCGCCCCAAGCAGGCGGCCAGAAAGGGCTGGAAGGCACCCACCTTCAGTCCTCCCGAAAAGGACCAACCCAAGCATGTCCGAGCACCCACCCCGGTGCTGGGGCCGCCCGTGGGTGAAGCCTGTGAGGGCGGTGGAGGCCGTGGCAGGGAGCCGGGGGGCAGGGCCGCATGGGGTGGGGGGGGCCGGGGGGGGCTCCAGCAGAGCGAGAAGCCGGAGCATCGCTGGCAGGCGCTGGGGGATGGGAGCGGCACACGCACGCACACGCACACACACATTACCCACATGCACACGCCAGCAGCACCAACAGCCCCTGCCAGCAGCCTGCAATCGCTGGAGCGCCCCGCTCCTCCGCCTCTCCCTCCTCCTCCTCCTCCTCCTTCTCCTCCTCCTCCTCCTCCTCGCTGCCCACCGGCCTGCGGCACCCCTTCGCGGCCTCCAGCCCCACCAGCGCACAGACAATGACTTCATGCGGATTATGCATCTGAAGAAATCACCAGCTCCCAGATAGCCACAGGGGGAGGTATCCATGTGTTTGGCAGGGAAGCAGCCTCCTGCTCTCCTTCCTTCTCCCCCTCTTTTCTCCTCGCACCCGGCAGCTGCCTCCTCTCCGGCGATGGTCCCCTCCGGTCCCCCTGCACCGTGCTGAGGCCCCGGCGCATCCCCGCTCCCACGCTTGCACCAAGGTACCGCCAAGGCTATTTTTATTCCCCCCCTTCTTTTCCGGTTCGCCTGCCACTGCCGG